ACGGTCCACCACTTCTCCATGTTGGTGACTGCCATCATTGATGAGCATTGATGAGCATTAAATTATGTGAAAGACATGATAGTTAATATGGGGGGGGTCGTACCGATACCCCCCGAAAAGGAAGGGGGTCGTAAAAATTTTGGAATTTGCGCAACGCAGGGTTGACCCTGCTCCCAACTATCGTGGCCACTGCCTTTAATATGGGTCTAAGGAACTCAAACAATCATCATAGATTGGATGTTTCAAATCTTCAGATTTGGAATTTCAGAAATTTCCTGATCATACTGACTTATCCGCTCAATTTCGCAATTTACTTCGGAATGAGTTCTTCATTCAAATTACAGGTCCGCTTTTTTTTCTTTGTTTTTGCATTTATTGCGGTACAATTCTATCAGTGGAGCTAATTGTATTGGTATTCTATCAGTGGAGCTAATGTTTGTAAGGTGTAAGAGCAAGCGAGTGTGAAACCTCTTCTGTGAAACCGGCCTAGGTAATGTAAGTAAACTAGGACATCTTGCACCTACAGTTGTGCGGAGAGGGCGGCAATCCTCCCCCCCCCCCCGGCCAACAACGGAGAACCCCAAACTTTGTCGCTGTCGCATGGGCGACAATTGAGCGACATCACTTTCACTTCCATTTGTCCTCATCCAGGCGCTCGCTGTCCCACAGTGTCTGCTGAGCTGACCATTCCTACTCCTGGCGAACACCTCGTTACCGCACGCGTCAGGCGACAAATTCAGTGACAAGATTGCCAACATATCAAGAATCTACTAAAGCGTGACCAAAGGGGATTCGGAATTCCGATTTCCGGTCCAGTTACTCATAACAGTTTTCGATCCTTCTCTTCGAAATTATCTCGCAAGTGAATAGCCGCTCCGTACAGTTAAAGTTAAAGGCAAAAGGAAATTGAAAGACAAATGTGAAGTATCAGGATCCATTTATTTTTTGAATTTGTTTCATTTTTAGGGGAATTAGGCGTGAAAACAAAAATATGTATCCTGTTTACTCTGTTTTAGTAAAATGTTCATTTTGAAAGTTTTACTCCACTAATCAATATTTCAGTTCCGGCAACTGTTTTCACGGCAAGTACTGTATGTCGCCTCTCCTGCCGAAGGTGCCGGATGGCGACCGCGATTTTCAGTTCAACTAATCGATATTCATAAATTGCGGAGACCAAGTCGACTCGCTAGGAAAGTGACTCAGGTAATATCCTGCTGTTTGTTTACAACTCCGTGAACGACGATCATTCTACCCCGCGTCTACTGACTGCTTGAATTCGGACCTCTAAAGAAGTCGGTGTGCTGCCCTCGTCTGAGCCCTCTCGCCTGAATAGTGGTTTACGACCATAGCGACCTCGCATGCTTAGACTTTTACTATATGAAAACGTAGCACACGCACGCTCCACTCCCCGAATTGCCCTCTCCTCCCTAGCTCACCTATCTCGATTGACGCCGTTAGAAGCTGCGGTAGGCGCCGTTCCCTGTTCGTCTGTGCTCTAGCCATTCGCGGCAGGACCACTGAAAGTTCGATTAGTCCGCAAACCGTTCAGAGGACACCATAAGTTGAAGGGTCAGTAGATTAAAATATGCCCACAATAAACAGAAGCTAAGCTTTTAAAGAAACGAGGTGTAGTGCGCTTCGTCGCGAAGGGCGTGCTCGTAGCGACCTATTAAGAACCGTGATCAGATCAGCCTTCACGGCGCATCCGATTGGCTCGTTGATCGCAAATTGTTGTTCTCTGCCTCTTGGCGCTCCCGCCCCCTTGGAGAAGCCAGAACAGCATCTGCACTATCGTGACGTTAGCTAGCGTTGACTCTTGTCTAGCGCTAGAACCAAAAGATAAAAGAGTCTTTTGAAAATGGTTTAGTGGTTTTCAGGCCGTTCCGCTCATTTTTGCTTCGCTGCTGGGTCAAATAGCACCTCCATTTTCATCTTTAACACGTTGACGACATCGCGCATTATGGCTTTTCTGGCCGCGTGGAATCGGTGCGATTTTGCAAGCGCCTTCGCATCACTTGTTAGCTGTTGATTTTGAGCTGTAAGGCTGCTTTCATAGTCTGCGCCGGTGCGGTCCGTGCGGACCGTGCGGAGAGAGTGAAAAGCGTCAACACGCGCTCTGGCGCACGATGCGTACTTGGCGCGCAGTCGGCGACTTCCGATCGATAATTCGGTTTCATTACATTCTCCTTTTGTTTTTAGGTGTTCCACGTGCCGTGTTGCTTTTGCTCTGGTTTTTTTGGCGAGAATCTTTTTTTTTGTGAATCATTGCTTTTCAACTGTCCTAGAATGGTTAGGTTCATACAGTGTGTTTGAAAGTGGCAGTAAGCCCCAAGTGAGTTCATTAGTAAGCAAAAGCAGTAATCCATACAAAAAAGGAAAAGTTTTGAGCTAAACAACCGCAAGAAAAAGCAAAACGGCACACAAAACGTCAAAAAAATAGAAAAAAATGTATTGAAATTAGGATTATCGATCGGAAGGCGCCGACTGCGCGCCAAGTACGCATCGTGCGCCAGAGCGCGTGTTGACGTTTTTCACTCCCTCCGCGCGGTCCGTACGGACCGCTAACTATGAAAGCAGCCTAAATATGCAAAACTAGTATGCGACAGAATGTTTCCATTAATGTTCAATGTGTTCAACTTACCTGGAATTGAAGTAAGTAAGTTCGACTTTTTAAATGGGTGTGGCATACACAATTACCGCAATTTCTGACATGCTTCGAAAAGGGGGCATGCATAGTTGCCGCGCTGTCGTCAAGGTGGAATAGAAGATCAAATTATGTATTGCCTTTGCTGGTACTGCTTTCGTGAGAGTGAAATATCGGCGCAGGTGGTTAAAATTGAAAATTTTTCGATTTTTTGATCAAATTAATCAGTCTACGGGGGATGTTGAAGGTGAATATGTAAAAAGACCGCATAATCTTGGTTGTTTTTGTTTTTGCTGTTCCGTACTTCATTTCCTATTTGGCGTTGTTGTTCACTTTTCTTTTGTCCGAAAACGAAGTCTACTGCTCTGAATTATGAAGAGAAATAATTGAACTGAACAGGGATTGGAATGACAGCGGCCATTTTCTATTTCGGAAGACTGATGGCCACCTGTCAAATGCGATTTTGCCCGAAAGCTTTTGCTGAACGATATGACGCCGCGCATTACAACAATGACACAGAAAGATTTGTTATGATGGAAAATTACTACGACGGCGTGATCATTAAAGGGTACGAAATCGCCCAAGAATTAGGGAGCAAGTAAGGAGGAGAGAAATGTTTGCCCAGGGCTGGTTTTGGCCACAGAATGAACAAGGGATCAACCACTATGCACCACCACCCCGTCTCTGTAGGTTGTCGAAGAATAGTTACCGCTTGGCACCAGCGAAGTCAAAGAGTCAGCATCAGTTACCCATATAGGTTTCTATAAACATTTCAGCGAAAATGTTTTCATGACGTTTTGACTTGTAATTGGCTATAATTTGAAGAAATTAAAGTTGTTTCTCCCTTAAAACTATCACCTGTATCACCTGTCGTCCCGTTGATCATCGATTTGCTCGAGCGGGCGCCAGCAACGTCTCCATTCGTCCCTGTCGCGTGCAGAGTTGTCCAGTGGATCCTCCTCGCTCGAGGGACACGAAGTCCTTCATTCCTTTCGTTCAGAGCTTTCGTGAAGAAGTCTGACCATCGGGCCGGCGGTCGTCCAGGTGTTCGTTTGACGTCCCGAGGGATCCAGTCGGTAACCGCTCTGGTCCAACGGTCATCGCAAAATCGCATGACGTGTCCGGCCCACCTTATCTTCGATTCCTTGGCGAAAACGGCAGCGTCCCTGATCTTCGATCGTTGGCGTAGTTCGGCACTCCGGATTCCCCTCTGCACTTGCGTGTATAGGGTTACTCCTAGCATCGTCCTCTCGACAGCGCGTTGGATAACGCTGACCGCATGCTCGTCCTGCCTGCGCAGAGTCCAAGTCTCTGAGGCGTAGGTTAGGGCAGGAAGGACACCCGTAAAACTAAAGCGAATGAAAATTTCCACTAACTAGAGCTGGCGAAAATCAGTGAAAAAGTGGTAATTTTTTTCCATGGAAAAAAAAGAACATTAACTGCTGGCGAAAAATTCGTTCAAAGCCCGTGAAGCACCGATGAGTGACATTGTCGTCAATGGGTTAATAACAGACCTAGATTCATGTCGTGTTGAATTCACCTATTTTGTGGGGTAGGACACATAGCCCGAATATGACAGTTGTGCGTTGTTGCGGTTCAATAATGTGCACGAGAATGGCGCTTTACAAAGGGCTTACAAAGTGGCTAATCACAGTCAATGCGAGCTCACGGACGAGATACCCCGTGCACATCCCTTCAAACGCAACCGTGGATTACGACGTAGCGGCTAATTCAAATACGCGCGGCTTAGAGGAGTCCTGGAGCAAGCAGTTTCACACAACTTTCCCAAACCGCAACCCCCTTGTTCCAAGAAAAACAGAAGAGATTCGTTAAAGAGCCCCATGAACGGTTCGTTTTGTTTCTTTTCTAATTTCCAGTCAACC